GTATTTGGTGATTGGTCAGATTATGAAATGTACTTCGGTGGCTGATCCAGGAGGGGGGTTCAAGGGGTTTAGAACACCCCCACCCTCCCCCTATCCCCAAAACTGTTGGTATATTTACATCTACAACTTGTCTGAAACCGAATGATTCTTCCATCGACAAGATGGAATAATGCTATGCTACTTGAATCACAGTAAATGGTTTGAACCCGGGGGGTAACATGTCATAGTATAGTCTGATCGTCCGAGTGAGTGTAGTCCTGAGAAGAACTGTTGTCGGTAATAGTGACTAATTTGAGGTATCTAAAATGTTATATCATCTGCTTAGTTATTTGAAGGAAAGAGGTGTTTCCTATTTCTTTTCCATTATCTACAATGAAAAATAAACGAAAATATGTGCCTCCTACATGGAAGACCCAGAGAAGAAATAGAGACGACACAATAGTCCAAAAATGAAGTTAAATTCAAATAAAGGTGATGGTGGCTTACAGAAGTTTAGTTCCTTCCTAACTTAAAGGTGATAAATGTGCTATTTCCAGTCAGTTGGCCAACTCACACTATATTAGTTTTGTTAGGGGCTGATGTTAAATTACAATCTAAGTACGTAGACGTGACTGGAAAAAGGGTGGGAAGAGCCAGCACATTTCTTTCTTAAAGGTTGTTATAAGGTGTTCTTGACCTGACCGTGCAAAATGTGCAATAGTTTATTCTGTCATAGTGAAAAAGACGAAAGACTAATCTCGATTAGGGAGCTCCCAACCTAAACTTCAGCATCGTTATTCCTTGTTTCCATTTCTTTGATGATTGTTCTTGCTTTCCAAGCCTCTTTCCTTTGATTATATGATGATATACGAGGCAGAGTATATTGTCAAGCTGATTTCAGATCGTTGCATGATACATAAGCCGGGTTGTTGAAAGTCAAGTCCGCGTTGATCTTTTGTCCAATTTGTGAAGCTTCTCGTACTTCATTGGCGTCAGAATTGTTACATCTCCGTCTAATACAACAGAAGACCACAATAACCACTGCAATGAGTACGATCCCTGCTATGGCAGAAGCGAGGACATACCACAGTTTCCAGCTCCTCTTCGTACCTGAAGAGCAGAACAACTAAATTCAAAGATAATGCTGGTAAAAAAATTCTTTGATTTTTTAAATAAAATTAAAACTGATGCTTTCATGCTTTCTTTCTGAGCCTTTCGGCATTTGCAGTATTCATAGCGTTCTGTTCTCCCGACTGATTTACAACAGTTAGAGCTCACCTGATGGTTCACAACTTGGTTTAGAGCCATTCCACTGTCCTTGATAACAACGAATAACTGAAGGGCCTGTGAGACTGAAACCTGTGTCACAATGGAACTTGAATAGCATGGCTCCATCTTTAGAATCCTTTCTTTGCATTAAACCATTGCGAAGTACGTTCTCCATTGGTATACAGCCTGCAAGAATTTAATATCTGTTAGCTACTTATTCAGTATCAAGACAAACTTCAGGAAAAATCCGCAGCCACGAACGTCTGGCCGATCATGTTTTTTTTCCACGCACTTTTGAACTGCGGCAATAATTATTTGGTGCACAATTATCCTTCATGCATAAAACCTCACGCGGAGAAGAATTAGTTAGTTTTCTCAGTATTCACATCTCTCGCTGCTAACGTTTGGATCTCAAGTTTTCGCTGGTCATTGATCACAGGTCACCAATATAACCAGCCCAAGGTTATTTCTGCACGACAAAGAACCAGTTAACAACAAGTCCCTAACAATATTACTACCAGAACAGTTCCAGTATTTTGTAGATCATCACTGAAACTCAATCATTCGGTAATATACTGGTTTGAAAGTTGAATGTAAAGGTCAACAAAGTAACCAATTCTGAAGCTGATATTTTAAAACATGTAACAGTATCATAAGCGATTTGGCAATACTGTGTTGCAAAACGCAGCGTTTTAAAATCTTCGGCAAGGGATTATGCATCTCCTCTTTTTTCAGCAATACTTTTCATCGATCATGTCTCATAATATGCACACT